GTTCGGTGTTTACATAGTCATAGCACAAACTATTCTGTGGCTCTTGAGAAATCAGTCAAAATGCTCAAAAAACTCTGGCAGTATGGGACTCTGTTCTGAAAATGGCTGCCAGTCAATGAGTTAAGTGAGGAAATCATCTGGCAACTGCTAGATAGATAGATAGATAGATAGATAGATAGATAGATAGATAGATAGTAAGCATAGTACGGGGTGTTGTGCTTGTGGGAAATTGGAAACAGTCCAGCATGTTTTTTGGAATGTAATAAATATACTCAAGAAAAAGAAAGGTTACGTAGGGAGTTAGGCAGGAATAAAATAAAACTGTATATTGGGATTTGTTTCAGAGGTCGTCTGGGGATGTGGTTTTTGGGAGTTTTTTCAGTTTTTTAAGAAGAACGGGTCTGTTAGAAAGAATTTAATAGATTGTCGGATCCATACTCCATTCTGGAAGGTGGCGGTAATGCACCTAAAAGTTGTTTGCCAACCGCCATTAAAAAAAAGAGAAGAAGAAGAAGAACAGTGCTTAGTTAGATCTGCTAAGCTGGTAGGAGGGAGAGCCATTCTCTTTTACAATCAGGACACGGTTACCTCATTTAATTGGACGCTAGTTTGACTTTAGAGCTCAAAATACCAAAGAAAACATTGATGTCAGGTCTATCACTGTAATGTGTGTCATGTCTCAAATTTTGGTTCTCGTTTCTAAGTTCTGTTGTCATGTTTCAGTCTCTTTGTCTTGTCATTTCCTGTTTTATTTTGGAATAGTAACTCCTCTCATTTCAGGTCTATTGCCCCTCCTCGTGTTCCACCAGTCTGATTTTCCTCCCTGGTTCCTGAATGTCTCGTCCTGTTCCCCGTTTCCCTCCATGTTTTCTCAAAGTCTGCGTCTGCCTGTGCTGTGCCAGTGTGTTCGTTTCCATCCAGGTATTTGTGTTCATGTTGCTGTGTCACCTTTTGTTAGCTTTAAAGGGGACATATTATGCAAAACCAAGTTTTTAATCATTTAATTACGTACATTTCAGCAGGCAAAGTGTGAAAAAAATGACTCATATGTCATGTTTTTGTGGGCCGCCTCAGTCTGAATTAGGGCTGCAACGATTCGTCGACGTTGTCGACAAAAATCGATAATAGAAAAAGTCCACAATGAATTCCATTGTGGACTATTGTCGCCAGACGTGTTTTTCCAACAGAGTGAGACATCTCACTTCATTACGATCTGCCCAGAGTCACCTGCACAACAGCGTCGCGGTTACAGAAATGGCGGCGTCCAACACGCGTACAAAAACTTCCAAAGTTTGGGAGCATTTTATCCTTGATACGACGAGTAAAAAAATTACGTGCAAGGTTTGCAAAACAGACCTTGCGTATCACGGTGATGCATGAGCATTTAAAAAGAAAGCATGTTGGGCACTTAAATGAAACGGAGTCTGACTCGCCTCGGTAAGATTTAAGCAACAATAATGCTAGTATGTTTTGTCTTTTATGTACGTTTTATGTACGTTATACATTTTCTAACTTTATGCTATTTTTAAGAAAAAGTGAATAACTATTCGATTAGTCGACTAATCGTTTCAATAGTCGGTGACTAGTCGACTATTAAAATAGTTGTTAGTTGCAGCCCTAGTCTGAATCCAGGAGATAAATCAGGAGGTTTCAGGAGTGGGTAGTTTCTGACCTCATTAGCTCTAGCTCATTATAATATTATTATTATTATATTAATATTATTATATATTATCTAGCTCATTATAATATTATTATATTAATATTATTATATATTATCTAGCTCATTATAATATTCCAGCCTTTCACCTGCACACCTCCCTGAAGAAGTGGGCGGATTGCCTGTGTCTCATTTGCATTTAAAGAGACAGGCACTCCAAAGTGAGCGCTCTGAACGGGGCTGTTTTGGGTTAGGGTTAGGGTTAGGGTTAGGGTTAGGGTTAGGCAGGGTGACTGAACTGCTATTGGGCTTCATCCTTATGGGATTCTGACCAAAGCTTGTCACAGACATTACATTAGGACACCAGGGAACTAGCTTAACTTGTTGAAATGGGGTATAATATGTCTCCTTTAAGGAAATGGTGTAAAGCCATTAATGAGATTGTTGTTGTTTTCTTGTTGTTGTTTTGGGTTTGGGGTTCTTTTTGGTCTTTATTATTAAGACTTTTTGACATTTCCCTGTGCTTGTTTGGACATTTGCTGATAACTGGCTTTTTACATCTTCTGGGTCCCTGCTATGGCAACACAACAGCAACTATTGGCTAAAAGAACATTCTAAAGCTCAAGTTTTACCTGAAAAGACCTGATCAAGATGAGAAGAAGAGGATATATCCTGAATAGATGGAGACTGGTTTGGATATCCAGGCTGATACAAACCAGTGTTGAATGATAAGCCATTCTCTTATAGGTAACTTAGCATCTAACCCTTTAAAGCCTGATCCAAGCATAAAACAAAACAGAAAATCACTTTTTTTTTGTTTGAATTCCTTATTTGGCCTTTTAACAAAATATGTAAAAGGAAAAAACAGAAATACATTTTTGATATTAATAATTTATTACTATGCGATAAGTCCAGATTATTTTTGTGTATCTTCTGCCCCCTGTTAACAGGTGTATCTGATTGTGTACAATAGGATTTTGAGCAAAGTTTTTACCATTAAATTATGCAAAAGGTGTCAGACGCAAAACATTTCAGAAACGGTATGAATCAAATATGATACGTTTGGTATTACAGGGTTAAGTATGTCATTCTTTAGAATCCTTTCAGTTTTTGGAACATCGAATTCTTTCCAGCTGTCTTGTTGTCTGGTTTAAAGACTTTTGTGTCACAGTCTGGGTCTCTTTGTTTCACCACCTGATGTCGCCAAAGTCCCTCTTCCTTTTTTATGGGTGTCTGTGTCTCCAAAAACCTGTTCCCTATGATTTTCATGTCATGTGATTGCCTCCTTTCATGTTAGAGCAGTGGTGCTCACACTTTTTCAGCATGGGAGCCACTTTTGAAATGACCAAGTCAAAATGATCTACCCGTTATATTTATTAAGAAATATATTGAGGATTCTCACAACTTATGTTGATGTTTAATATCCACATATGTTGCACAACACAACATAATTATGTACATTTTACTTGGTTACATATGGATGTATAACCATATATGGATGTATAACCACATATGTTGCACAACACAACATAATTATGTACATTTTACTTGGTTACATATTACTTGGTCCAGCTCCCCCACTCATTTTCATAACCTATCTTACGTTTAAGAGGAAAAAAACGAGCGAAAATTTAGGATGTGGCTAACAACTAGCTTGTTAGCTTTGCTAATTGACGTCATCGTACAGAAAAAAATCAGATGTCATATGACTGGTTGTCCTGTGTATCAATCAAGTGACAGATGGCTGATAGGCTGACGTCTAGTTTTTATTCAAAACAACTCAACTTTATTTGTATAGCGTCAGTTCATGACAATTTCACCTCACCTTGTCATGCGGTTTAGTTTAGTTTAGTTTTATTAGGATCCCCATTAGCTGCCAAATAAATGGCCACTAGTCTTCCTGGGGTCCTCATATGAAGAAATTATATTACATTATAAACAGATCATAAAAAATAAAAATAAAAATCACAGTAGGAAACAATAAAAACATAAACAAGAGTAGACTATACAACATATACACACAGGTCAGTTCATGTTATCATTTGCAGTAGTTCTGAAGACAGAATATTTTTGAAGCTTGTTCTGTTCTTAACTGTTCGTGTGGTTATTGGCAGTTGGCTCCAGTGAAATATGGCTCTATAATGGACTGTGGATTTTAGAGAGTCTAAAGTCTCCACCTCGTGCCCGCCTTGTTAAGTAATTATGATTTTGTTCAACAAGGACTAAGTGTTCAGCAAAACTTTCCGAAAGTACCTTGGAGATCGACTGGTAGATCGCAATCAACGTATTGATTACCCCTGTGTTAGAGTCTTTAAACCCTGTTTTGTTGTCTTCTTTGTTGAGTCTTCGTCGGTTTCTCAGTAAGTCTCGTGTGCTTCTCTTTGTTCTTTAGCCTCAAGTCGCTTTTTGTTCTTCTCTGGATCTTATCTCTGTTTGTCCTTGTGGAATAACTGACTCTTTGGATTTATTTCGTATTTGGATCTAACTGCCTGTGTTTGGACTTTTTTACCTTTTGTGGAATCTTCTGAGCGTTTGATGGTTTTGGGAATAAACTCTTTACCTTGCTTACACTTGCCTGTGTTTGACTCATTACCAAGGCCTCAGTAGGTCAGGGGATTGCCACCGGTGAGACCCGGTATCGATCCCCGACCAATCATATATATATATATATATATATACATATCATAATGTCCTAATCATACCAAAGACTCAGAGTGAACTTGGTTTTCTGTATCCACACACCCTGCAGCTCTTCCCCAGTTCACAGGCTATAATACTATAACAGTAGTACTGTTGGTTAAGGTGGGCTTTGTGGTGACATGTTGGTTGACCCAAGGGAAAGGGGTGTACAGCCTATCCCAGGCCACACAAAAATATGGACTTGTTTAGGTGGGCACACAAGATGACACACACAGAAAAGTA